CCTTGAACAAATCACTCTCTTTTTGATCCTTTCCCCCCCAAATATAAAGTGCCGCTTAGACCAGACTGGTCCTCTTCAAAGTCCTCCCAGAGCTCAGATGAACACCAGGTGCGGAAGCAGGTGCCTCTGCTGCAGGGCTTCTCGGAGCCTGAGACATACAACTGTGGGGTGTGAATCTCCAGTGGGTGCAGTCAGCGCAGACAGGGAGGTGTTTAGGGCTTTGGCAGGTAAAGCTGCCCACAGGCATCTGATCCTAGGTCACTTTACCTGGGGGACGCCTGTGAATGCCAACACGTGGGGGAGGCTGAGCAAGAAGACGGCGGAGGTCCTCCCGGCTTCGGCGCTCTCCGCTCCGGAGTCCAGGCTCTCCCCTCGGCCTCCCACGTTTCCTAGGAGGGTACTCACCGTTGCAGTAGGCACTTCAGAGCTCTTTTCAATGGCTTGCTTTCCTTCTCCCAGAAATTCTCATTTATTCCCCCCAAGCCAGTGTGCCTGATCTTCTGTCCCCTGGGACACTTCTCCCGGTGACCTAGAAACCCACCCGGCAGCCACCATGGTTGTCTGTTTAACCCCCTGGGCTTCTGTTCTGTCTCCCTTGTGTCCAGGCAATGAGCCTGAACTTTCAGACAACCCAGTTTATGTGCCTGTGAATGCCCCGCATAGTCTATATAACTCGTTAAGAGGCGAATAGTGTGGCGCATACTCGGGAAGTGTGGTCTCCAGACTGTCAGCATCAGCATCCCATGGGGACTTAGTAGAAATGCAGACTCTCAAGCTCCTCTCGAGACCCCTGAATCGGACACTCGTGGTGGCTCCTCGCTGTGCATATTTCAAGGCCCCCAGGCGACTTGAATGCTTTCTGAACGTAAAGAACTAGGGGTATGGGGGTGAAAAGCAAGCGCTCCGGACTCAGGTGCTATGCTGCATCATGGTTTCTGAACCTGGAAGGCAGGAACGACAGCAGTGTGTCCACATGAGAACTCAGTCACTACATGGCACGTCTGTACGGCCTGGCACAGGATACGCACGGACTCAATGACAGCCACTTCTCAGTAAGGGACACGAACACGTAATGAGCAGGAGCTCAGGCTGTGTTGCATGACATGCGAAGAGGTGCCCTCCGTGAGTGAACCTGAGGACAGTGGCGAGACAGCAGCACAGCTCTAGGGACAGACAGGTCTGATTTGCCGACGTGGGCTTCCATGGGTTGCCTTCATGAACATGTGTGAATTATCAAATCTCTCTAATCTTAGCGTCCTCCTTGGGAGCATGGAGAAAAGACTTTCTTCATGAGGTAAAGTGAAGGCTCACATTCCATTGGCCAAAGCGGTCACATGGCCACATTGGACACTAAAGGGTGAAGACACACTCGCCCACAAGGACCAGCCCCGGGAGGGCAAACAGACCCAACAGAGCCTGGCAGCCAGTAACTGGCAGCCACCGTCAACCATGACAACAACAGCGACCACGGCTCTACCAACAGGCCCCAGGTCATCTCTTCGAAACACAGCTCATCAGGACAGAAGGAACGAGGTTGGGAATGTGCCGCAATCTCAGGTGGTGCTCCCTCTCCATGACACTGGCAGGACCGTCATGGAGAACGGTGACCGATCCCAGAAGCTGTCACCCTCCAGCCACCCTCCGCCCTCCATGGCCCGAGGGAAATAAAAGGCTTGCATAAGGAAAGAGTAATTTCCCCAGCAGGTAAGCACCGAAGGGCTGCCCTTTGGGATCTGCTGAGAGGCGACTTGGGCCCCCACGTCCTGCCTCAGTGAGCGCGTTCATTCCGGAGGCCACCTGGGCAAACCATCCACGTCCTCATCTGACATGGACGAAGTCAAGGGGTGGCTGGAGAACAGTCACAGCGGCCGCTGAAGCGAACCCTGGCCTGGCCCGTGGCGCAGGGAGGAAGGGCAGCGGGCCAATGGCAAGGGGCCCTCGTGCCTGTGCGGCCGAAGTTACAGGGTCCAAAGGGAGGACAGCTAAGCCTCACTGAGTTTATTTTCAATTACTCTCAAGCCTTCTGAGTTCAGTGAACCCCAAGTACCTCTCGTCAACCATTTCTTTTTCTACTTAATATTTAAACCTGTGTACCCTTAATGGGAAATTTAATCCATGTATTTTGGATTGATAGCAAATTTTGTTTTTTTTTAAATCACCAAAAAATTGTTTTGTCAGGAATAGATGGCATACGAGAAAGCTTTTCAAGCAACTTTTCTTACAAACAGGAAGCTGCTTTGCTAGAGCATTAAGTCAGAGCCCCTCAGGCTCTAATTTGAGCCCAGAAATCCCAAGTTACAGTTCGATCCAGGTCCCGCTCCTCTGTTCCCTCCAACGCCCCATTTGAAGGCACCTGGGATGACTTCACTTGAGGCCTGAGAAGCTCCAGGTTCGGGATCCTCCTGCCTCCCCAGGTTTCTATTACCTATTTTTTCTGGAGATGCAGATATTTTGTTCCCCCACGCTGGCACACAGAATGAAGTTTTCCGCAGAACAGACTAATTGAAAACTTCCAAAATTTGACTCCACCGAGCTCTCAGGGTTTAGAAAGTGTCAGTGTGGTACTAACTAGGGAAAAAAAAATCTTTAATACTTAAAAAGTTAATACTTAACGTTGGCCCGGTGGGTGGTTGGCATTCATCTATGAAGATGGTGTAGATTGGACATTCTGAAAACGAATAAAGAGCTGTTTCCAAGGCCCATGTGCAGCAGTGTTGTTCTAGAACGCTCAGGGGGAGTGGGGGCGGGGGGGCGCTGCCGATAGCCTTCGATCTGCGTATCGCAGCCTGGAGATTCTCGATGTGTGTTCCCGGAGCCGCAGCATCCCCTGGGAATTTGTCAGACATGCAAATTCTTGAGCTCCACCCCAGACTCACTGGATCAGAAACTCGGAGCCTTCCTGGTGGTTCTGAGGCCGCCCCAGTGTGAGCACCTGAGCCGGGGGTGGGGGCGGGGGTTGCAGCCGGCGCGGGCCCAGGAGCTTGCTAGAGCCTCTGCCATCACGTGCCCGCTGTTGAGAATCTGGGTGAGTTACTGAGCTTGTCTGTGCCTCGGTCCCCTCCGCCGGGGATAATGACTATGCTTGCCTCACAAGGTTGGTGTGAAGGTTAAGTTCGCGCATGGAAAACACTTAGTGCCATGGTTGGCACATGACCTGTAGTGTCATTTCTGATGATGATGATGATGGTTATCATTGATCTGGAGCTTTGTGATTACTTGAGCCTTGATTGCATTATTTTGTTAGTGCCCTTGTTATTATCCATCGGCATCTTTCCCACTTTGGACCCCTTCTGGCTCTATTCTGACAATACTCATGCTTATTATTTGCACCTGTATTTCTTCTAATTGCCCAGTGGCTTTCTGGACGTTTACGGTTCATTTCTCCCTGACAGGAGAGTGTGTTCCAGCTCACTCTGGTTGATTTCTTTGATCACCCGTCCTTAAAAAGGCCCCTTTTTTGGGACAGAATTCTGTTCCTCCCTGAGGAGGACGGTGGTAACTTGCTTTCCATTTTTTCCATTCCCTTCATTTTGTTCCCACCTCCGAGAGCGTAGCACCCCACACAGCCTGACTACCGTTTTCAGCGTGGCTACTGTCCAGTTGTTTCCAAAATGGGTCCTTCTTTCCTTTTTCTCCAGAGAACAAATGCTATACCACATAAGCGTTAAAGGATTCATGCCACGTGCATTTTGTTGGCGGGGAGTAATATTGATCACTGCATTTAATAATGTCAAGGACTTCAATAAACACATTGCAATTCTAAGAACTGCATTCCTAACGCACATGTTGAACAATATAATGCAAACTGCAGAAATTAATGCAAAGCCTAAAGAAACTACTAATGGTTTTTATGGAATTTTGCTTATTTGTGGGATTGGGAGGGGGGAAAACAGCAGGGAATATCTTTTATCACTGCCCCATCCTTAGCTTTTCGTAGACTTATTTTACCTTAACCTTTTGGAATTGGAGCCGAGGCAGACTGCAGAATCGCCAGAGGAAAAAAAGGCAGCAACATAAAATTATATGAAATAAGAGTGTCTGTCGACAATGAAAGGAATATCACCAAAGAAGTCTGCTGAGGAATAAAATGCTATAAATTAAGAGTGTGATAAAAGTGTATGTGATAATAAAGCGATGACAAAGGAAGAGACTGTTTGCCAAACATACAAACACCCCGGGAGAATCAAGTGTAGAAGAGGCTGTGTAGGTTGAAATTGAGACTCCTTAAATGATAAGCATAATTCTTGTAATTATTTACAATCATTGGTGGATTAGGAAAAAAGTGTGAAGTGTACATATGCTTCTATGGGTTAGACAGATAAAAATGCGTGTTGGCGTGTGTGCCCACGTGTGTGTAGCTTAGGATGCAGCCGCTTAGAAAGAACTGTAAAAGGACCTGTTGGCTGTGCACAGGTCACATTAAACTCTGGAGGTCAAGGTGGCAGCGCTCTGGCCTGGCCTGGGCAGACTGTGGGCCTCGTTCTTTCTGCCACGAGCCATCTCTGTGAGGAACGTTAAGTCGTCCCAGCCTCCCAGGTCTCTGTCACCATGTTTGAAAAATGTGTGTTAGATGCCTCAGTTTTGACAACCCTTTCAACTCTAACAGTCTGTGACTCAACAATAATAATGCATTTCCACAGGCGGTAAAAATATTCTAGACTCTTCCCTTCCAATTCTCACTGTTTACTTCCGCTGCACTTCCCCTTCCTGCCTCCTGTTTGTCGGTCAGTTGACAGTGGGCCTCAATGGGGGTGGGTGAGCCCTCTTGCCAGGCTAGTTGGTGATTGAACTCCCTCCAGAGGGTGGGGATTCCATAGTGAGGGCTTCAATTTAGTCCTTAAAATGCTCCTTGAGCCTTTATTCTGGCACCATGCCAGATTACCAGGGCTTGGAAATAAATGCCAGGGCTCTGGGCCTGGGGGGAACTGTTAAGGGTCATTTCCACTGGGCCAGTTGCTTTGTAAACACCTGTGAACCCCACGCGTCCCTCTCTCTTTCAGGTGATAGCAGAACCCCATGGTAGCCAGGTGGGCGAAGGGGAGCCGGGACGGTCCACCTGCCTTGAAGAAGACGGCTTCTGACCTGCTGAGTAAGTGACCAGGTAGTAAACTGAGGGCACAGGGTGCTGAGAGGGAGGGAGGAGGTGTTATCCTTGGAGAGCTGTCCACCAGCGCTCTCCTCCACGGAGAGACGGGGAGACGCTAGGCCCGAGGCCCACCCACAGGCCCTGGGCCTTCTTCCCGCACTCTGCTCACCCGACTCTGATAGGTAGGAGGCACTATTTGTGCCGTTAATGCCAACACCAGCCATGCAGAAACAGGAGGAGGACCGCAAGCGGCGCCCCCCGGGCTGGCCCGCTGCCCCTCCGAGAGAGGTTAGAACAGAGGCCTCGTAGCGCTGCCTGCATGCGACCAGGGCCGACCGTGCAGAAGCTGACAGCCGCAGGGCCCGGGGCGGTGCTCACGCCCACAGGACATCTGTGTCTCTCACATTCAAACACTTAAGCCTCTGTTGTTATTTCGGTGGATTGCATGGCATGCACTTTCCCTGGCAGGTTTTCTTCTTTTTTTTTAAGTGCATGCAGCTACTTGTCTTTGGCATCTGGAGTCCTGAGCTTGACTCCGCATGGGGCGTGCCAGCATGGCTTCCAACTGTCACCCTGTCCCTCTCCTCTTGGTCCCTGGCAAGTGCCGCTGGTGGTCCGACAAGACCCGTGCGCATCAGTTATATCCTGCCCTTCTCTTTAATTTTTTTTAACCCAGGGATATATTTATTGATTTTTTGAGGGTTTTTTGGGAAGAGAGAGAAACATCAATGTGAGAGAGAAACACCGATTGGTTGCCTCCCGTACGCATCCTGACCAGGGATCAAACCTGCAACCTGGGTATATGCTCTGACTGGGACTCGAACTCACCTTTTGGTGTCCAGGACGACGCTCCCACCGACTGAGCCACCCAGCCAGGGCCCTGTGCTTTTCTTTCACCCCGATACCAAAATAAGTAGAATAGGTTTCAATGAGTAAAATTCTGAGTAACTTACGGCCCTTCTTTGCAATGAAAATAAAAAAGTGAGTTTCCTTCCCAAGAAAAAAAAAAAAGATCATTTCAGGGGATATTCAGTAAATGGCACACTCTTGATCCAGTAACAGGAAAATTAAGGAGCCCAACAGATCCCCCGCATCCTCAAGTGGCAGCCCGTAAAGGACACGGTTTCACTTTCCTTGAAGAGATTTGCCCAGAGGATTGTTTTCAAAATTCCTAATTGAGGTAACGCTGCTTGAACAGCAAAGCCTATTGCATGAATCACAGGTCGCTGCACAGCGGTTCTGTCGAAGAGGGGGAAGTTTAAAAAATTTCTTAAATGCCTGTGAGGTAGGGGAAAGGAAAACCATGCCAACCAGGTAGAGTTCCCTCTAATCACTCCCATTATCTTTTCAAGGAATAAAGGGGCCACTTATCTCAGTCACCAGGCAGGTACTATAAGATGCTGGGTGGCCTCATGCCCAGCTTGTCCCTGTCTGTGAGCCAGCGTGGGAGCCTGGCCCTCGTTCCTGGTAGGTCTGCCCGGCAGCCCTCCCCAAAGTCTGTGCTTGCTTACTTGTTCGTTAACTCTTTCAAATGCATCCCTGTGCTGGTCTGACTTAGTCGTGAAGAAGTAAGGCAGGATCTGTGTGCCATTCCTAAACAGCAGACCTAATCGGGTGTGCTGACAGGACTCCTAAGAATAACCAGAGTACCCATTAAGCCATTAATCATGCTTAATTATTCACTCTGTGTTTGTTTGAGGTTTTTGATAACTTAGTCTTTTCCAATGTAATCAAGGCTAGGAGAGGCCATGCATTCTAAATTATTCATTGGATTAGGGGCAAAATAAATTGCTATTATGGTAAATGTCATGCAAAAGGGTAAGTATAAAAATTTTTATCAGCACTGTCCAAGTGTACAAAATTTGTGTTAGTAGTCTCCATCGCTTATCAAGAACTATCTTACGGCTCTGGCTGGTGTGGCTCTCTCAGTTGGGTGGGTGTCACCCCAGAAACTTAAAGGCAACCGGTTCAACTCCCGTTCAGGGCACATGCCTAGGCTGTGGGTTCAGTCCCTGGTTGGTATGTGTATGAGAGGCAACTGATCAATGTTTCTTTCTCATATCCATGTTTCTCTCACTTTCTCCCTCCTTTTACCTCTTTCAAAAAAAATAAATAACTAAAAACCTATCTTATGGATGGTAAATTTTAGTTATAGCCATACTGACCCTATGCTCAATCAATTTATTTTTAAATTTTTTAAAACGGGAAACCTATGATACCTGAATAGACATAAATATTCATAACACTCCGTGGGGTAGATGCTTGTCCAAGTATGATATCACAAAGGGAAGATTAGCATCTTTTTTTAACAGGCAAGGCTCTTTTTTGGCACTTTCTAGCCATTGTCTCTGTTAACCATCACAAACCCCCTGAAACATAGGCTTTGCTCTCATTTTACAGATTAGAGAGCTGAGGTCCAGAGGGGTTTAAATAGCTTATCCTGGCTCCCAGAGCACACGAACCGGAGAGTCAGCGCTTCAGCCAGGTTGGCTGGTCTTCAGGGTCAATGCCTCTCACTTCCTCAAGTTCAAATGGATCGGTCTTGCCTTCAGAAGTTTCCTGTCCTGCGTATGTCCATAGGCATTCATACTTAGGTCTCATGGATTTCCTAATTCTATTTCCTGGACGTCTACCACCTGTAACCATAATAATACGTCCCTCTTTGTCATTTCCTTAGGTGGCCCCAAGAGCCGGCGGATGGACCCAATGCACCTCAGCATGTCCAGTGCTCCCCTGGTGAAGCACACAGCCAGAGCTGGACTCAAGTCCCACAGACCCCGGGTCATGTCCAAGAGCGGACACAGCAATGTGAGAATTGACAAAGTGGATGGCATATACTTACTCTACCTTCAAGACCTGTGGACAACTGTGATCGACATGAAGTGGAGGTACAAACTCACCCTGTTTGCTGCCACGTTCGTGATGACCTGGTTCCTTTTTGGAGTGATCTACTACGCTATCGCGTTCATTCACGGGGACTTGGAGGCGAGCGAGCCCGTTTCAAATCACACCCCCTGCATCCTGAAAGTGGACTCTCTCACGGGTGCGTTTCTCTTCTCCCTGGAGTCCCAGACAACCATCGGCTATGGCGTCCGCTCTATCACGGAGGAATGCCCTCATGCCATATTCCTGTTGGTGGCTCAGCTGGTCATCACGACCTTGATTGAGATCTTCATCACGGGCACCTTCCTGGCCAAAATCGCCAGACCCAAAAAGCGGGCAGAGACCATCAAATTTAGCCACTGCGCTGTCATCACCAAGCAGAATGGGAAGCTGTGCTTGGTGATCCAGGTGGCCAACATGCGGAAGAGTCTCCTCATCCAATGCCAGCTCTCTGGCAAGCTCCTCCAGACCCATGTCACCAAGGAGGGGGAGCGGATCCTCCTCAATCAGGCCACCGTCAAATTCCACGTGGACTCCTCTTCGGAGAGCCCCTTCCTCATTTTGCCCTTGACGTTCTACCACGTGCTGGATGAGACCAGCCCCCTGAGAGATCTCACACCCCAAAACCTGAAGGAGAAGGACTTCGAGCTCGTGGTCCTCCTCAATGCCACCGTAGAGTCCACCAGTGCTGTCTGCCAGAGCCGCACCTCGTACATCCCCGAGGAGATCTACTGGGGTTTTGAGTTTGTGCCTGTGGTCTCCCTCTCCAAAAACGGGAAGTATGTGGCCGACTTCAGTCAGTTCGAGCAGATCCGGAAGAGCCCCGACTGCACGTTTTACTGCGCGGACTCAGAGAAGCAGAAGCTGGAGGAGAAGTACAGGCAGGAGGATCAGCGGGAAAGAGAACTGAGGACTCTGTTGCTGCAACAGAGCAATGTCTGATGGTGGCGCCGTGGCCTCGGCTCCGCTCTGCCGCGGTTTCCACGCCTGAGCTCCCTTCAAACAAACTTGTGTGGATGTGCTCTAAAAAAGAAAAGCAAAAAGAAAAAAAAAAAAAAGCAGCAGCTGCACAGATGTGCAAAATCTCTCTTTTCCTTTGATCTGGTGGCTAAACAAGAGTCTTCCCCCTTGGAGAGGGTTCCTTCTTTAAATGCTCTGTCTGAAGCGAGCTCTCAAAAATCCAAGTTTTCTAGAATGGGGCTACCTTTGAAAGAACTCAGTGTATGACCACTGCAAATATGTCCTTCTGGATGGACAGAGACATTTAGCCACGCCAGGCAATGCTTTTCCAGATGAGGAGGGCAGCTGTGCTATTAGGTATTTATTCAATCCAACTATCAAAGACGTCATGGCCGAGACTGGAATGCGGTTCAGTACTCACTTATATCATTGCTTTAAAACTCTTCTCGTTTTTTCAGGCAGAGGAAATGTTATATATACTGGAGGCTGTCTGGTAATACAGAAAATGGAGCAGGGGGGGTCTGTACTCACGAAATATAATAATTCCATCGTCACCTTTTTTTCAGTGGATTTAATTGTGTAGAGTGAAATCGATCAATCAGGAATTAAGAGTTGTGGAGACACATACAAATGGAGCTGAGGTTATTTGTCATGGTCATTTTCTGGTGGAACACGCACCCCTTTCTGTTCAAAATGCGGATCACAGACCAGCAGCATCAAGCTCCACCTAGGGGCTTCTTAGCAACGTAGCCGCTCAGGTCCCACCCAGCTCAGAGAATCAGAGTTTGTATCTTAACAAGTGACTTATGTCCAAATGCGTTTGAAAAGCCACTCTCTGGGCAGTGTGTTCAAGGAACCTTCTGCAGCCGTGGGGCTCTGTGGGTCCCCGGTCCATGCGGCCTCCAGGCCTGTCCTTCCTTTGGTTCATTATCATGGACCACACTTCCTTTCAGCCACTTCTTTCCTTATCTAGTAAAATACCTTGTTCCCGGAGGAAGTGCTGCTGACATTCCAAGAGCCAAATAAAACTCTTGCAAGTAATGGCTGTCTTGTTCATGCTAAGCATTGTACATGGTTGTTGAGAAGAGTTAGGACAAAAGAAAAGTGAAGCTGTGTAAGGATCAGAAGTTTGCTCAGAGGTTGAAATCTAGGAAGTTGGCGGGGGAGTGGGGGACAGGAGGTGCTGAGTGTGATCCACATACCAGCGACTCCTGGAAGCATGAACCAAATCCGATAATCAGAGGACAGGTCAAGAATGTCTTTGGTATTTAAACAAATCTTGTGCAACTCAGAGTTACAGAGTAACATGTTGCCTTTGGCAGAATTTGGGGACCAGGCACCCTGCATTTCTTTGAGACAAAGGATAAGCAGGCTCGGAGTGGCTAAGCGTGCAAAAGGTGAATTCTCATTTCATTCAGAACAGGATGGGTTTGTGTATTTACTCAAGAAGCATGTGACTGGAGTATGTAGGCACTTCATGGACATACACGTGAGCCCAGATGTGTACACACAGGACTGCACATGCACACACACACACAGAGACTCACACGCTGGCTCTTGAAGCGTAGCTGTGGAAATTATGGGACTCCCCGAGGACTGGGAACGCTGGGGCTCCGGGGGTCGGGGAACGGAACCTGGACTCAGGTAGTTGGTGAAATGACGATGCGGACTCCGGCAAGTCCAGTTGTCTTTGACGTTGCCATATTTTCAGATGCCCTTCATTAAAATATTAAACGGAAAACGTGGCTAACACCTCTGAGCTGGAGCTGACCATCTAATGGAGGGGTCTAAACAATGGGGGCGAAGCTGTAAAGGTCTGAAGAACAGAATCAATGCACAAGAGGTTTTTGTCTTCAATTATTCAGGAAGTTCTTTTCTTTTTCTGTTGGTAATTTCATGGCAGGTTGTTTTGGATATGAAAAAATTATGTGTAGTTAGATATTATCCCTTTTAGTTGTTCTACCTGATTTTTGTTTGTATATTGTGGTATAATCAACAGAAGTATAATGCCATTGGGCATGTTTACAGATTTTCTGTCACACTATTGAATTCTTCTCACAGTATTTCCGTCAATGTTAGTTTGAATGTGACCAAGATTAGGAATGTAACATACTTATATTGCATATAGTACCATAATGTAGCATGAGATGGAGAAGTCTTTTTATGTTCATTTAGCATATCTATTTCAGCCAAATTTGGAAGGCCTCAGCGCCTGCTCTTTTGCACGACACACAAAATAAATACGCAGTGTCTTAAAAGCCAACCCTCGTGTAAGTCAATAAATCATATAGCGTAATTTTCAATATATAACTCTAAAGTTGTGGCTGGTTTGAAACTTAGCCTTTCCTAGACACACTTACTTATTATTACTTTGTACAAAATACTCTCACGCTGACATGCTAATGAAGGACTCAGGTGGCAAAGTGTCTCTATCTAGACACAGTCTTTGGACTGAAACAGATTCACGCTCAGCCCTCAATTAAGAAGAAGTCATCCTAATGGAGTGCTTTTGACCCCAAAAAGATTTTGCATTTTGAAGTGTTTCCAATGTACCAGGCCTTCTCAGAGATACCATTCAAAAATGCCGTGTTTCATTTGAGAAGCACAAAACCATGTTTTATTTCAGTAATAAAATGTATTGTACTTACATGGTCGATAGTAGCCAATGGCTCCAGAAGCATAGCAAAGATTCACTCATTGGTCCTCAGAGTGGGCCGCCTTGGAGGGGGGAGAGCGGGGGGCCGAGCACACACAGGTCCCCTTCCCCATTCATGGGGAGATTACAACACAGAGAAGAGACTCTAAGAATTAGTATTAACTGATTAAAAGGGAAAGAAAGCCGGGAATGAGTGGATCAGAGATTTAAATGAATTTTAACAACTCTTTGAATTTTAACTGACTGTGATTTCGATATCACTGAACTGTAAATTAAGGTACATACCTGTGACACTTCTATTACAATATGTCCCTTCTCCCTTGCTTAGACCCTCAGTGCTCATAAATCATCTGGAGAAAGGAGAAAAGAGAAAAACGACATGAAGAAGGCACAAGGCCTTTGCATGGGTAGCCCAGTAAAGGATCGCCCTTGTCCTTGTCTTGGATCTGCCTCTGTCACTACGGACTAAGGGTCAGACATGTGACCACGTGCTGTAAGGAAGACTTCCAGTCTCTCAATCTTGGCTTTCATTCTTGCTCGACTTTCCTTTGCCTGTTGAACATTTGAAATACCTGGCTTTGAATCCACGCTATCTTATCATGGCTTGGTGGGATGGGGTTTTTTGGTCATGAAAGACATTAGGATTTCAAGTCTTGATTTCCAAGTGCACAGTTGAATTCTAGCTTTTGACCCTGCATGGGTCCAAGGTGCACTGAATCCTCTTCCCCTGGGAAGATCTACACTTAAAGGTCCAAAGCTTAGCCTTTCACGTCTAATGAATTAACTACGTACATTTTGCCCTTTTTGAAACTCAGTTTATCTTTAATCAGAGTAACTTGCCAACCAGCCAAAACCGGGGTCCCGGACCACAGTGAGCAAGGGATGTCTGCTCTTAGACTCGTGTGTCTCAGAGCAGAGTTAAGTCTCCAGAGTTGGTATTTGCAGTGAAATGACATGGTTAGAACTTAATTGGGATTTTAAAGAATAGAAGGGTTAACTTCTTAAGGCATTAGTGCTTGTCAGTAAGCTGTTGTATTGTTGTTATGTGGTTTTGATTTTATTTTTTTAAAGAATCTAAAACAAAATCTTTGTCTTTAGAGTAAGGGAGGCAGTAAGAAAAGTGTAAAACTGCTTGATCAACTAGCTTTTGCATAAACGCAGTTCTCCTGGTGAAGAGCTTTGCTGGGAAAAACCGGCCACTCAGCCTCACATGACAGCAGACAGGGTCGTTACATTCCTGTGGTGTCCCAGGAGAGCCCATTTTCCTCGTCTGTAAGAAACACTGATGAATTCAGTCCAATTTCCCTCCAAACTTCTTCTGCTAAATACTCAATGAAGGAGAAGCATGAGGCAGAAATAAAGCTTCAGCCCTTTCCCTTCATCCTCATCCTCTCCGAGTTCTCCCGGGGACTCAGCTTCCCCTCAGCCTGACGTGTGCTTGGCTGGCTGGCCTTCCCCCTGGCTGTTCATTCCGTCAAGCCCAGTAATTCTGTGGGTTGAAAAAAATCCTCAGTCCAAATGAGTAACGTGTAGACGTTTAGATGCTCCAAAACTGGGGACAGGGGTTTTTATTTTTCCACTGGTATGCTGCTGGTGTGTAAAAATAGAAGACAGATAAAAACCTCTTGATTAGAGTTGATAATTAATTCCTAATAAAATTGCAAGAATTGACCATGTAAGTTAAGAACATCATCAATACATGCATATAAAGGCCAAAGATGCCCTATGCGTAAGTGAAGGCCCCGTAACTCTGAATAAAATCCCAGAGCAGGGGACACCAGCCATGCTGGGCATGTGGGGCGTGTCCTGTGCTTAGTGACTTCTGTCCTGCACTCTGTATGGACTTTATGATGACGCTCTAAATGTCCCACCTTTGGTCTTATCAATAAATTACAAAATCGCATAGGCAATTAGAAAAAAAAGCTTTCGAATTTCACTGATGTCTTGAATATTTATTTGCTAACTCTGTCACCCTTACAGAAAATATTCACAGAATCCCAAACTATGCCCCTCTCTAGAAGAGCAGAACATAAATATCCCTTCCTTTGGCAGCAACGGTTTTCGTGTAACTAATAGTAGAGAAAGGGGGTAATACAAAAAGGTAGTGTCTTGACTTGCTCCATTAGTAAAAGTAAATTGCAGCCAAACGCAGGGGACCTCCCATACATTCTGTGCGGCGTGGAGCAGGAAGCCATCCGTGGGGGCCCGTCTATCAAGGCGGTGCCCAGAGGGCCAGGCTCAGAGCCCCCTGAGCATGGAGCCCTTGTTTCCAGCCCCGCGCTGGAGAATCAGGCCACAGGTTTTGTGCTTCTGACCAGCACTGGAT